TTAATTGATTTCCTTTCTTTTCTTTTAGTTTAGTTTTTTTTTTTTTTTTGACACGGGGTTTATTTGTAGCTTTGGAGCCTATCCTGAAACTTGCTCTGTAGACCAGGCTGGCCTCCAACTCACAGAGTTCTGTCTGCCTCTGCCTCTCGAGTGCTGAGATTAAAGGCATGCACCACCAACGCCGGGAAGAATTATATTTCTTTCATCCTCAAGTTTCTGCATCTGCCTCCCCTTTCTATCTAAAAGGTTCTTCCAGGAGAGCTTCCCAGGTCAGAAGACAAGAATGTCCTGAAGGTGCCTGCAAATACACTTCATCTGAGATAAGGCAGTCGGTTTGCCTCTGTTTTATTTTACTTCATTTCATTGAGACAGGATCTCACTCTACAGTCTTGGCTGGCTTGGAGCTTGCTGTCTTCAGTTTACAAAGATCTGCCCTCTTCTATGTCCTGAATCCCATGCCACCACATCAGACTTGCCTCCAGTCTTGTACTCCTCAAATGTTAAAGGATATGGGAGTCACCTGAGATTTTCTTTTCTTTTCTTATTTAATTTTTAATAAATTTGCTGGTGGAGCTGAAGAGAAAGTGGCTTAACGCTCTTCCAGAGGACCATAGTTCTGTTCTGAGAACTCACCTCAGGTAGTTTACAACTGCCTGTAACTCTAGCTCCAACATATAAAATAAAAATAAATGAATTTTAAAAACTGCTGGACATGGTAACACAAACCTTTAGTCCTAACACACTGGAGGCAGAGGTAGGCAGATTTCTGTTACTTCTAGGTCAGCTTCATGTACATATTTATTTCCAGGACAGCTAAGGCTACATAAAGAGAGCATGTCTTAAAAAATTCCCAGCACCCACATGGCAGCTCACAATTCCAGGGGATCTGAACCTTCACACCAACGCATTTAAAAAAAAATAGCAACATTTATTTACTTTTTATGTGTGTGGATGTTTTGTTTGCATACAGAAGAGAGGCGGGCTCTCTTGAAACTGGAGTTATAGTTAGCCTCCATATGGGTACTAGGAATTGAACCTGAGTCCTTTGCAACAGTAGTAAGAACTCTTAACCACTGTGCTATCTCTCCAGCCCCTGAATTTAAAAAAAAAAATGCAGATTCTAGGCTCTCAGAATTATAGTTTCAGAGACTCCTCAGGTAACTCTTCTCAGACCTTTTTTTTTTTTTTTTTTTTTTTTTTAATATGTAGCCCAGGATGACTTCAAACCACATAGCCCAGGCTGACGTTAAACTCCGAAGTGCCAGGATTACATGCATACATCTTGTTTTAAGTGACCAAACTCTAACCTTTTCCTATTAGCCAAGCTAATGCTTGACAAATCAATTCTCTGTAATCTGGGAAATCACTTAACCGGCACTAGGCTGGGAATCAGGCAGACTCGAAGAAAGAATGGAATTGACACCGTCAGATGACAGATGAGTACTGAGACAAACCGCGGGCAGTTTTTATTTGAACATCCATCACCACCCTAACCTCCAAAACATTATTCCTGTCTGCAATGTCCAGCACCTTTGAATGAAGTCCTCCACCCCCACCCCCGCTTCATCCTCGGGTTATGTTATCTGCTAAATGTCTGAGCCGACCTTAAATGTGCCCTGGGATAAAGCTACAGTTTCATTCTGCCATTCTGCCATTCTGCCCCGGCTCGGCCTCGTTCAAGTACAGCCCTCCTCTTCCACACTGCTTGCTAACTTAACATTTTTAAAAATGGCTTTTACAATTTGCGGGGAGGCCAAAGTCCAGGCCTAGCACCCACCCCCCTAACTTCACTAGGGGGCGCGACAGCCCCGGAGATGCAGCGACTGTGGCCCGGTGGCACCCACCCCCAGGGCTCCGGGCATTCTGCCGTAGGTTACCACCGCTCCTCCTAGGAACGACCTGAGCGGGAAAGCCCGGGCAGCGCTCGAGCTGCGGCCAGAGACTTCTAAGAGGCCCCACACACAGTCTGGGAGGCATCGCCGGGGTCTGAGATCGCCCTTCTGAGCCGGGCGCCCTGGCCGGTAACCAGGCGCACATGGCCCGCCCGGCCCTGTTTGTCCTGGCAGCGCGCCGCCGCTATTTGAGGCGGTTTTTTATCTCCCAGAAACCAGCAAAACCCCAAGCCGAGTCTAGGAAGATGAAAGGGGCCGAGGGGCCTGGGAGGGGAGGATTGCGAGGCTGCGGCGAGCGGGAGCTGGCACCGGACAGGCGGAGCCGGGGAGGCGACATGGCCAGCCCCTGGGGGGTCTTGTGCGCCACGGGGCCCGGGGTCCGCTCTCGCCCTCCGCCCCCGGTGTGCGCCCGGGCGTCCCCACGTCCTGCCCGCTCTCCCGGTTCTCCTTCGACACAGCCCCGAGCCCACGCGACAAATGCTCGGAACTCGGATTTCTTCAAAGTGCCTTTGAAGCCGCGCGCCGGGCCAGAGGGCTGGGGATCGTGCACCTGGGCAAGGGCACGGGTGTCGCGGGGTGGGGTCCCCTTCGGGTCCCGCTCCTCCACTCCAGCGGCGGGGGGGGGGGTGGTCGGGGCGCCGCTGCCCGGGAAAACGCCTTACGCACGCCCTCAACCCAGCGGGGGAGCCCTGGGGGCGGGGGGCGCACAAAGCCCTATTCTGTCTTGGGGACGGCCGCCACAGAGTGGCTTTTGTTTCTCCACTAACTCCGAGGCAGGCACGACTGATTGCAGGCCCCGGGCAGAGGGCGGGTTACGTGCCAGGCGGGTCAACCGGCCCGGAGTCTCACCACCACCGACGCACTGGGGCTGAGCTGAGAGCTGACCCATACTGTGACCACAGTTGATGCCCCGGCCTGGTCACTGCCCAGACCAAGGTCAATGGTACCCACTGAGAAAGAGCCCTGGAAGATGACTAGGCCTTCCGGACTCTTCAGATAGCACCAGGCGACTAAAAGCTCAACTCCCTTAGAGAACTTGGCCGACCAAGTTGTCTTTTTTTTTTTTTTCCTCCCTTTTCTTTTTTCCTTTTTTCTTCTTGTTTTTTCGAGACAGGGTTTCTCGGTGTAGCTTTGGAACCTATCCTGGTACTCGCTCTGTATACTAGGTTGGCCTCCAACTCACAGAGATCCTCCTGCCTCTGCCTCCCGAGTGCTGGGATTAAAGGCGTGCTCTACCAACGCTGGACTCCAGGTTGTGAGGTTTGGGGGTTTTTTTTGTTGTTGTTCGTTTGTTTGTTTTTGTGCCTTCGGTATGAAGCACAACCGAACCACATTAAATATCTCCGACAGGAAATTCCCGCATTGCTAAGGAAATATCCCGCCGCCCATCCATCTCCTTCCTCTTCCCTTTTTCTCACCAGACACAATTTCAAATGAAACTTTTATTTATTAAATTAAAAAAAGAAAGATTCCACAAGGGGATGATCTCTTCAGCGATGTTATTTATGCTCTTCTCAGACTCCACTGGCTTTTATCTGGGGGCCTAGAAGGAGCAGAGGACGAAACAGGAAGATCCAATAGTCTCAGGAAAGGCGTTCAAAGGCACGAAGCGGCTTTTAAGTCACTGGAATGGAATGGAAACTCCTAGATTGGGGGCCTGTGGATGTACCCCCAAATTCGTTTAGGGACCTCTGTCCTGCAATAAATTCTTTCTCATGGCTTCTAGGCACCAGGCCTTGCACATAGTAGGCATTCAATAAATACTTGATTTACTTGGATTTGATCCCAGAGAAAGCCTTTCCCAACCTGTTTTTCAGAAGGGGCACATCCAAATCAAAGTCCTCCTGTTAGTTTGGCTTTCCCCAAAAGGACCAGTTTAAGATGGCAGCCGCAAACGCTCCATAACCATGACAACAGGGGATTAGCCTATTGAGGTCATAGGGTATGAGGAGGGTCAGTGGCAGAACCTGCTCTGAGGTCGAGAGCGCTGGGGTACAGTCCAGTACTCCCCTCCGTAGGACTTGAAGTTTCACAGCTTCTGGCTGGGGCTGGGGATCTTAGTGACCAACTGAGAGACACCACATAAATTCTCACAACTCTCATTTTAAAACTCCACTGAGAGCTGGTGGTGGTGGTCCATGCCTTTAATCACAACACTCAGGAGGCAGAGGCAGGCCTATCTCTGAGTTCCAGGCCAAACCTGGTCTACAAAGTGAGTTCCAGGACAGCCTGCAAAGCTACAGAGAACAAAAAAAGAACTCCCCTGAAAAAGAAACACGGATGAGACCTCAAAGAGAGATCTAAAAACAAGATCTCCACTATTGTTCTGTCTATACAGATACATTTGACTAGATTTCCTTAGTTAAAAAAAAAAAAGGATCCCCTTCCTTCTCCAGCTCACTGTACCTGACCCGTCATCATAACTTAGATAAATAGAATTATTATTATTATTACTATTCTTTACTCCTGGCACATAAGGGTTAAGTACTCAAGCTGGGGCAGCCTCCCTGACCCTGGGGTCACCCCAACTTTGGGATCAGATCCCCGCTGGTCTGCCCCCTTCTTGGCACTCTGCTCCCAGCCAAGTTACTAATACCAGTCTCCCTAAAGCTGCTTCCTAATGAAGAACCACCAGGGGGCAATAAATTATCATCATCATTGTGTTTGTTGTTTTTGTTTGTTTTTGGTTTTTGTTTTTGTTTTTTTTAAAAAAAAAAAAGGTTCAAAGGAATAGAAAGCACAAGGTAAATCTGGAACACAGCTGCAGGGAAAGTGGCAAATAGGGTAGGGAAACAGAAAGACTCGATGGCAAAGAGTTGAAACCCAAATGGAAGGAAAGTAAGTGAAGCTGCGAACAGGGACAGGGAGGAAAAAATTAGGAAGCCAGAGCATAGGAACTGGGCACAGGCAAGGGCTTGAGAGGAGTTTGGCTAAGACTTGTGGCAAAGGGAGGAGAACTAAGGAAATAGCCAGACTAGGAATGTCTAGGGGAAGGCAGAGAGAACCCCAATGTATAGCATGCATAGAAAAGAGTGAGGGGTAAGCAGTGGCCCACCACACCAAGAGAGCCTGGGAAGAGGACCCTGAAGCTGGAGACCTTCCTCTACCCAGTTTAGATCTCTAGAAGATTGCTCTGCTCCGGGCTGCCTCCGGAGGCTTTCTCTGGAGGTGCAGGCGAGGTGGAAGATCGGGGAGGCTGACTGGCTTCTTCTTCCCCGACGCTGCGGCTCTCCACCAGCTCCTTAGGGCCACTTGGGGGCGGCCCCGGGCCTGGTTCCGCGTGGGTGCGCTGGTGTTTGCTCAAGTGGTCGCTTCTGGTAAAGCGCTTGGAGCAGAGCAGACAGGTGAACTTCTTCTCCCGGGTGTGAGTGCGCACATGGCGCTCCAGCTCGTCGGAGCGGGTGAACCTCTTGCCGCAGAAAAGCCAGTTGCAGACGAAAGGCCTTTCGCCAGTGTGCCAGCGTAAGTGGGCTTTCAGATGTGAAGCCTTGCCGTACACCTTGCCGCAACCAGGGATGTGGCAGCTATGGATGGGCTTCTTCCGCAGCCCAGCCGCTGCTGCCCCCAGCCGCTCTAGCTCCTGACAATTGGGGCAGTCGCAAGTAGAACGCCCTGCCCCACTGCCTGCATATCCGCCACTGCCCCCAGTGCCTGCACCCCGGGGGGTTTTGCCAGCACCACTCCCTTCCAGTTGGCCACTATTGCCAACTGCCTTGGGCTTATAGACATCTTGGGGTAGGACATGCTGGGGCCCTGGCTGCAGGAGGTGGGGCGCTGGATAAGGGGCTGGATTAAGAGGGGCAAAGTCAGATGGGTAAGTAGGCAGCTGAGGGTTCAGTGGAGGCTGGGTAGGGCCTGTGGACAGTGTCCCTTGCAGCCCATCACCTTGGCCCTGCCCACCACCTAGCCAGTTGCCCCCAGGGTGCATGTCCCACCAAGGAGTAGGTGTGTTGCCTGGACCTGGTGAGATGCCTGCATGGATGCCTGCCTTGTACCAGGAGCCATAAGGATGTGCCATGTCCAGAGAGGTGTAGACACTAGGCAGGCAGTCAGAAGAGCCGTGCCCCTTGGGCACCAGTAGCCCAGGGTCTTGGCCACCCGTGGGCCCAGGAAATGAGTGAGGAAAGGGTGGATAGTCATTGGCATAGCCAGAGGCCGGGGCTGGAGGACTGCCTGCCGGTGAGAGAAGTCCATTGGTGCTTGAGAAAGGAGCTGGGTAAGCATCCCCCATGGTTTTGGGGGTTGAAAGGTCGGAATATGGCTTCTTTGTGGTTCCTTTTCCCAGCGTCGTCGTTGAGTCCCGAAGAGGGCTGGAGCCACCAAATTTACTGCAAGCCGCTGTCAGCATGGCCAGGGGACTGGAGCCATAGTGAGCTTCTTCCTGTAGACAGAGGGAGATGGCTGCTTAGGAGCAAAGAAGAGAGGAGAGAGCGAAGGGCATAGTTATGGGACTGAGACCTGCAGACTTGAGGACAGAGCACAGAGGTTAGGGAAAGGTTAGAAAGAAAGGGGAACTGGAGGGAAGAGTGGTGTACCAGTGAGGCCCTGTATCAGGGCAGAACTAAGATTACATCATGAAGGGACAGAGAGGCCCAAACCTGATACTCTAGTCCACTGTGGAGTCTGAGGGAGAGCTGGCTGAGGTGACAGTTAGGGTTCTGATCTAGTAAAGTGGATTTGAAGCAGACAGAAGCCAAACCATGGCCAGGGACTCAAAAAAGGTGCTCCTCAAAGAGGAGCATGGCCTGAATGCAGTAGTTCACACCATAATCCCAGCACTTAGGAGGCAGAGGCAGGGAAAACCAGAGACTCCAGTTTTCAGTTACACAGCAATTCCAGGCCAGAATAGGCTACATAGCTAGACCCTCTCAAAGTAGCAGACAGGTCAGGTATGGCAGCACATACCTTTAGGCCTGAACTCTGTAAACAGAGGCAGGAGGATCTCTGTGAGTTCCAGGCTACCCTGGTCTACACAGTAAGTTCCAGAACAGCCAGGGATATGTAGAAAGACCCTGTCTCGAAAAACAAAAACCAAAACAAACAGGATGCTGAGGCGGAAGGTCACTTGAGCCCAGGAGTCTTTGAGATGGGCTTGGTCAGCACAGAAAGGACACCTTCTTCCATACCTTCTCCACAGAGAACAGTGTGAGGTACAGAGAAGCAACAGTACTGGGGGGCCATATTCGACCCCAACCCAGATTTTCCTGGCATCACCTCAATTCCATTTCCTGTTTCTGCTTCAGCCCCTGACTAAAGAGCCACTGCCTCATCTCCCTGAAGTCAAGGCCACATGGCCCTAGGAAGGAATCTCTTGGCATGAACCTTGGAGCTGGGGATCTAGAGGAAAGGATAGCAGAGACACTGAAACATTGAGAGGAAATAGGGCTGCAGCCAAGCTTAGACTGTGGTGGAGCAAAAGTGTCTCTCAAGTGGGCATTGGGCACCTCCTGCTTCTTGGTAATGGAAGAGTCCAAAGTCCAAGACTCTCCAAGACAGGGAACTGGTTAGGACACTGGGTGACAGCCTTACTCCTCCATGCCTCAGTGACCCCTAACGTGTGGTACATGGGAGGCTGGTCTGCACTATATCATCCAAGTGATCGAAAGAAGGCATGAAAGTGGGCTAGGGGAGAGCTTTTAGAAACACAGAGAGGTAGCCAGGTGGTGGTGGCACAGCCTTTAATCTCAGCACTCAGGAGGTAGAGGCAGGCTCATCTCTGAGTTTGAGGCCAGCCTGGCCTACAGAATGAGTTCCAGGATAGCCAAGGCGAGAAACCCTTTCTTGAAAAACAAACAAAAAACAGAGGTATCTCTTTAATGCCTACCAATATGCTATGACTGATCTGACTACCCTCGTGACCATCATTCCTCAGGAGCTCCCGGGTCCCCTCCTTAGGTCAGATTCAGAACCTCTTTGGGAAGAAAGGCACACCAGCATCCTTGGCCAGCATATACAAGGGCCTGTATTCAACCAAATTACCTTACATAAAGGAGAGAAAATAAAAGACGTCCTTCAAAAGCTTGACCATATGAGGCCAGTGAGATGGCTCAATGGGTAAAAGTATTTGTTACCAAGCCTGAGAACTCCCATAAGTTGTCCTCTGACTTCCACACATGCTATGATATAACATTCACATAAATACACTCTATATATCTCCCCCCTCTCATGTGTGTGTGTATCAACCATTTTTTTAAGAGCTAGTCATTGGACCGGGCAGTGGTGGCGCACACCTTTAATCCCAACACTCAGGAGCCAAAGACAGATGGATCTCTGTGAGTTCCAGGCCAGCCTGGTCTACTGAGAAAGTTCCAGGACAGCCTCCAAAGATACAGGGAAACCCTCTCTTGACAAAACAAACAAACAAACAAACAAAAAAGCTAGTCATTGAGACCAGAGGGTTGGCTTGGCAGTTAAAAGCCCTTATTGCTCTTTCAGAGAATTGGGGTTAGCTTCCCACATGGCAGTTCTAACATCCTCTTCTAGCTTTGGAGGCACCAGGAATACACATGTTGCACACATATCCATGCAGGCAAAACACCTATACACATAAAATAAAAAGTACTAGTTGTGGTGGTGGCATGTGCCTTTAAACACAGCACTCAGGAGGCAAAGGCAGGCAGACCCCTGAGTTCAAGGCCAGCCTGGTCTATAAGAGTGAGTTCCAGGACAGCACAGCAAGACCTGCAGAGAAACCTTGTCTCAGAAAAAAAAAAAAAAATATATATATATATATATATATATATATATATATATATATATGAAAGAAGAGAGAGGGGAAGGAAGGGGAAGGAAGAAAGAAAGAAAAAACAAGGGGAAGGAAGGAAGGAAAGGAGGAAGAGAGTCAATTGTCTAATGGTCTGGTGTCTTCCTAACAAAACTTACAAATGAAGGCAAGAGTCCTGGGTTCTCAGACTGGCCTAGTGACTCCTAGTTCAATATGTATGTGTGTGAGATGCCAAATCCTATAGGTGAGGCTAGTGTCTCAAGGTTTCAGCTAAGATGTTGTCAATGAGTCCTGTGCTGCACCCCTGCCCAACTTTCCATCTCTTTCTGAGGTCCTGTCAATCCTATGGACTTCCAAACATGAGCCATCAAAAGCCACCCAAATAAACTTTTGTTTATTGTTCAACAGTAAACCCCTGGGCTTTCCCAGTAAGTGTTTCCCTGAAGCCTCTAATGGCCCAAGCAGAGAGGAGGTTAGGGCAGGATAGCTGATGGGGCAGGAGTGAAATCTTAGCATGGAGAGGTGGCAACATGGGAGCTCAAAGACACACGGAGATACAGAAACGTGAGCTGCAAAGGACACTGTGCCAAGCAAAGCTCCATAGGGACAGAGAAGGGGGACCATAAAGGGAGATGTTTGCATTAAGAGACAGAAATGGACAGGAAAGTTAAAAAACAAAAGGGTGGGGGATCGAGTGAGGCAGAATAAACAAAGAAGAGCTGGTAAGAGATCCTGGGCCAGGAAAGCTAAGGAAAACACAGGAAAAGACAGGAGAAGGAAGACAGAGGAGGAGGAAGGCATACACGTCCCACCTAAGAGGAAACCCACCATGGCGAAGGGCCACAGACAACCCCGGACCAGGCCATTCCTCCCTCCTTCTTCCCCTTAGCTGCTGCCCCCTCCCCCCTCTGCCCAGCACGGCCCTGCTCTGCTCCTGCTCCGGTGGCTTCCCTGCGGTCGGTTTATTTTTAAAAACGCCGACGCGGTCCCCCGCCTGCCCGGCCCTCACACTGTGGCCACAAGGGCCTCAGCCAAGCTCGGGGACCCCACCCAGCTGTGGGGAGGTAGGGAGGGGTAAAATAAGACAGCCAACCCTAGGCTGACATGAGACCCTGGCTTTGGGGAGTAAGGACCCGCGAGGCCCCTGAAAGCCAGAAAGAAAAAGCAAATTATTGGACTGCTCTGGGGGCCAAGCGCTGGAGGTTAAGTTCCTTCACATCACAGCTTTTCTGGCTGATTGCTCTGTATGAAAGCTAAGAAAAGGGTTCAAAGTTCTGGGTATATGTTCCTATATCTGATCATATGTACCTTGTAGAAACCAAGGCACCCATTTTCCAGTTTCCCTGTTCCCCACGCCTGCCCCTGCACCATTTAAAATAAATGCTTGGCCAGGTGTGGTGGCTCATGCCCTTAATAGCAGCACTCAGAAGCAGGTAGGTCTATGAGTTTGAGTTTGAGGCCAGCCTGGTCTACATAGAGAATTCCAGAACAGTCTACATAGTGAGACCTGTCTCAAAAAGCAAAAATAATGAAGAAAATAAAAGGCTTAAAAAAAATACTGAACGAGGAGTCTGTAATGGAAGATCATGCTAGGAGCTGCCTCAGTTTTTGTTCTGATGTCATGTGAACTAAAGGGACCCTTCTTTCAAGTAAGGCACAGTGGAAATGCTTACTATACATCTGACAGTTGGAACTACCTACATAGGCTGAGCACCCAAGGTCCCTGTTCTTAGTTCTTAGCTTCCTCCCAAGTTTCTTAATTCACCCAGCTTTATAATTCTTAAAAATTTTCTTGCCAGGCAGTGGTGGAGCTCGTCTTTAATCCCAGCACTTGGGAGGCAGAAGCAGGCAGATCTCTGTGAGTTCGAGGCCAGCCTGGTCTATAGAGAGAGTTCCAGGACAGCCAGAGCTACCCAGAGAAATCCTGTCTCGAAAAACAAACAAAAATAAAATATTTTCTTTTATTATGAGTATTTTATTTTTATCTTTGTCATCCTAGGAATTCAACCCAAGGTCACTCTCATCCCTGCTGAGCAAGCACTCCAGCACTGAGCTATATATCCCTCTAGCTCTGGCATCCCAACTCCATGCCTCGTGTCCTGTCTTCCTCTCCCCTCTCCAGCTCCCCTCTCAGTTCAGCTAAGTGTCTTACCCCAGCAGCTGCTTCCCTCTCTGAATCCCAAGTTCCTCCCACTGCTGGAGAAGCTACTCATACCAGACTAGGACCTTAAAAACTAGATAAAAGAAATGGAGAAATGGAGAGACTGACTTTTGTGGTGGCACATGCCTTTAATCCCAGCACTCGGGAAGCAGAGGCAGGCAGACCTCTGAGAGGCCAGCCTGGTCTTCATAGTAACTGCCAGGACAGCCAGAACTATGTAGAGAGACCCTGTCTCAAAAAAAAAAAAAAAAAAAAAAAAAAAAGGAGAGACTGGTGCATCTTTGGGTTAGGCATGTTCTGTTCATAGGGAGTTGGGTCTAGCATCCATGACACATTATTTATTTATTTATTTATTTATTTATTGGTTTTTTTCAAGACAGGGTTTCTCTGTAGCTTTGGAGCCTGTCCTGGAGCTTGCTCTGTAAGCCAGGCTGGTCTCAAACTCACAGAGATCCGCCTGCGTCTGCCTCCTGAGTGTTGGGATT